GGGGTGTAATAAACGAATGACTTTGTACGGTCCGTCATACAAGTTAGTGAATTTTCCGCTTGATGATACCATTACCCGTAATAAAACCTCCGTATTTGGTTGGAAACAACGCGGTTGAACCGTTCGATCGTAGCGAATCTTCTGACGTATCTGTGCAATTCGCGTATTCTCTTGAGCCACTTCTCGTAACTTCGGTAATTCGTACTGAATACTTTGTAAACGCTGATCGTATTCTTCTTCGGAATCAATGAAACTATTCGTATTCAACGTCCACACGGCTGGCGTTTTGAGCTCATAACCATATAACAAACGACTAGGGGTAAACTTCGTAGTAGCACTGGTCATGGTGCGAATAACTAATAAAGCTTTCCATAAATCTACATCCCATTGTAAATTGCCGTTAGTCAGTTTAGTTAGCTGCTCTTTCAATGTTCGATTTAACCGTTCTACTTGACCGTTCGCTTGTGGTCTATAAGCAGTAGTAGGAGTATGATGAATTCGTAAATACTTAAAGAATTCGTCGGCTAAATCGCTCGTGAAGTCGGCTCCTCGATCCGTAATTAACTGCTGAGGAACTCCATATAATGCCACAACATCTTCTATTAAGAAACGAATGACCGTCTCAGTGGTGATATCCTTGGTAGCTCGAGCAATAGGCCATTTAGTGAAGTAATCGATAGCTGTCAAAATATATCGATTTCCGGACGTACTGATGGGGTTGATGGGTCCCATGGCGTCAACACCGAGTAATTGGAATGGATAACTGGAACTGATAGAATGCATAGGTTCCTGTCTAATGGCCGTCGTAGTATTTCGCTGGCATATGTCGCATCCTTTTACTACTTCTTTTACGACTTTGTATAAACCGATGCCGGCGAAACGCATCTTCACACGTCTCCATGTATTTTCGACACCATTGTGTCCTTCATTATGTATCCTTGCTATTTCCTCGTGAGCGTTATGCTCATGTAATACTTCCTTTTCCTGATTATTGATAACTTGATACAATTTATCATCGATAACCTTATACTTTCCTGCGATTCTTCGTAATCGCTTTCTTTCAATTTCCGTGGCGTTGGTAGGATAAACCATTTTGTTCACATAATCTCTAGTTGCGTTATAGAAGGTGAATGACATTGCAAATAGGTCGGTATGCTGTTCCATAGGAGCTGGATGTCGAGATAAGTAATCGGCCGGGTTTATCTTGCCTTTGATATGTTCGATGTCGTAGTCGTATTCCATTAACATTAATTGCCATCTAGCTAGTCGACCGGTGAGTGGTTCTGACGTCTTAAATAGCGATAATAATGCAGAGTGATCCGTTTTAAGCGTAAATCGTCGTCCATACAGGTAATGTCGGTAATGCTTTACAGCCCATATGACGGCGAGTCCTTCCAGGTGGGTGGGACTATAATTGCTTTCGGCTTGACTGAGACTACGGCTAGCATAAGAAATAACAACTTCCTTCTGATCGGGCAACCGTTGTTGTAGGATTGCTCCAAGACCTCGTCCCGATCCATCTGTAGTTAAAACAAAAGGTAAGTTCCAATCTACAAATCGTAGAATAGGAGCGTTAGCGAGTTTGGATTGCAACGTTTGAAACGCTTCTATTTGATCTTCATCCCACGACCAGGGCGTATTCTTCCGCATTAATCGATTTAATGGGCGTGATATAGTTGCAAAGCCTTCCACAAAGCGTCTATAATAACTGGCCAGGCCCATAAATGATCTAACTGTCGTAACGTTAGTAGGTGGTTTAGCATGTATAATCGCATCGATTTTGTTCGGGGTGGGTGCTAAACCATGAGCTGAAATTCGAAAACCTAAATATTCCAGTCCTTGATATCCAATGAAGCATTTAGTGGGAGATAGTTGAAGTTGAACTTTTCGGCATCTATCGAGGGCTATTTTTAGATGTTCCAAATGTTCGTCCACATTCTTCGAGTAAATAATAATGTCGTCAATGAATACTATGACGTTTTTCCATAACATATCAGCGAACACACGTTCCATCATGCGTTGATACGTTCCAGGGGCGTTTGCTAGACCGAAAGGCATAACTAAAAAGCGGTAAAAGCCTCCACCAGGGATTGCAAAAGCCGTTTTGTCGCGATCGTCTTCCGTAGCCAAAGGGACTTGCCAATATCCAGAACGCGCATCGAGTGTTGAGTAAACTGATGATCCACCTAAGGCGTCCATGATTTCGTCAATTAAAGGTAAGGGATACTTATCCTTTCTAGTGATTGCATTTAACTTTCGATAGTCGACACATAGACGTAATCCACCGTTCTTCTTTTGAATGGGCACAAGTGGAGCACACCAGGGTGATTGTGCTTCTTCGATTACGCCACTTTGCTTCATCTTCTCGATTTCTTCTTTGATTTGACGTAGCATTGCTTGTGGTACACGGTAAGGTCGAATTCTTACCGGCGAATGATCTCCTGTATCAATCGAGTGCGTTGCTGCGGTTGTACGTCCTAATTCCTCGATTTCCTCTGCGAAAACATCCTTAAAGTCGTCAACTACCGCTTGTAACTGGGCTCTGTCGTCTTCCGGTAACGGTTGATAAGCAGTGGTTGGTGTAGTGACTGCGAGTCCAAACAGATCGTCCGGGTCCATGATATCGAGATCTGCATCGTTTCCTGAATCGCTCTGACTGTTCACGGCAGTTACTCCTTCATTTTGTACACTGAAATGTTCGAATAAGGTTTCAATGCTAGCGGTATCCGTTGGAGGCGTGTCTGGAGCGGCAAATACGGGAGCGTCCTCTAATAGGGGGTCGATATCGTCGTACTGCTGCGTATTCATGGGAATTTCCATTGTTATACCATCCTTTCGATAAATTAACTTGTTTTGAATGATATCTGGTGTAATGGAATTTCTCTTCATCCAGTCGATACCTAGAATCAGTAGATGACCTGTTCTTTCGAATACAATGATATCCGCGGGTAAAGTGAGGGGTCCAATACTTATGGGTAAGTCTTTCACCATATGCCGGGGAGTATGTCGTTGTCCATCTGCGGTGACCAATACTCGATCAACGCGGTGTCTAGGTCGTATACCTAAGTGTGAGACCAACGCAGGGCTGATCACCGAGCTGGCAGCTCCAGTATCGATAATTGCCATTACTTCTATACCGTTGATGATTACACGTCGTCGAGCTGAAGTGTAATTGTGACCAATTTCATCATCAAGATTGTTGGCATCCATCTCACGTCGTAAAGCTCGTGCTAACTGTTGTCTGATTGCCGGTGATTGGTAAATCAGTTGTGCAATCGAGATATTTGCTGGCGTCGAACGTAGTTGATCCTCAATCTTGTACGCATTTCTGTCTGTCTCCAAATTTAGATTAGGAGGCATTCGTGGTTGCCGGGGAACTCTTGCAGCCACATTTCCTTCTTTCGCTGCGGGGGCTTTCCTTCGTGGTACATCCTTCGCTTGTACCGTTGGTTGCGCAACGTGTGTTGTTGGTACCGTCTGTTCTTGGATATCCATTTCCATATCGGTAGCAACGGCTTTTCTAGCGTTCTTCCTTGTAGCGGGAATAGCTATATCTCGTTCTTTCCTCTTTCCTAAGGGGAACAAATCATCTTCATTAGCATCGTTATCTAATAGATTCAGATTTTCTCCTTGTCTCTGGGGACATTCTCGGGCCATATGTCCTTTGCCTTGACAATTGTAACATCGTCTTTCGCTGAATGAACGCTCATTGTTTCGTTCCGTGGGTTTGTTCTTTTCTTGTACCATGGCTTGTATCATGTTGAGCGACATTTCTTGAAATCGCTCCATTAGACGTTCCATGCTGGTTTCGAGAGACTGACTCTTGCTTTCTTCGCTCTTGGTCCGACCAATTAACGCTGGTTGGTCGTAGGATGCCTTGATACTTGGTAAGATATCCTGCGCTTCTAAATCAAGACTTTCTTCTCGCAGTAATAACTCCTTGGCTCGTCGGTATGTATTTGGACCTTCCTTTCGAAATTCACGCTTGTACTCCGGTCGAATAGCTTGAGCTAGTAATTCCAACTTGACCTCGTCGCTTGTAATTTCCGCACGCTTGATCAGGCTATCCAATGTGGTGAGTAGCTCGTCGATGGATTCTTCTTTTCCTTGACGATACGAGAAGAGCTGCCTAGTTGCATGATGTTTATAGCCAACGGTAACATATTTACTACGGAAGGCATTCTCGAATTCTTGCCAGGTCGTAGTCACTTCTTCGATGGATTCATACCATGCCTCGGCCGTCCCTTCTAAGCTGACTCCTGCCATTGCGATTGCTTGGTCGTCGAGCCAATTGTTTGCACGTTTGATCTTCTTGAATCGGCTCAGCCATTTCTCGGGGTCTTCACTCTTGCGTCCTCCGAAGGTAGGGGCTTCCATACATCCGATCTTGCCGTCCATTGCGATACTTGATGTAGAAATGTAACTAAAATATGAAAAATAAATGTCTTAGTCTTAGCTAGAAGAACTCCCTGTAGTGAGCACCAAAATTGTAACGCGGCAATTTGTTCTGCCTGAAATAATGTTACGATAGATTCGAGAGCTCGTGTTAAGATAAGACACTATGATAAGTTGAGAGAATTGTAGAGTAGAGGGTATTGTTCGATGAGTAAGTGTGTGATAAGATAATGTCTTTATTTCGTATAAATGTAAGTACGCTTATATAGCTAGAACAGCTATGAATGTAAAGAGGTACCAGCAGTAGATGTGAGTTTGCTACAGCGCATCTTTGCCGAGTTAGTCGAAGATGTACTAGTTCGCGTAGTACTTGTTGATGAGCGGGAAGCGTAGCATGGCGAATGCTACTTTATGTTGAATCGTCGGGTGGTTGTTGATTGTTTGTGTAAGGGAATAAGAGGCGAGTGGGTGATCGTTATAGATCCTGACGTAGTAATGAGCAAGTGTATCATCACGTGATCAAATCTAGGTGGAGATTCGTTAAAGTGAGGAAATCCTACTGTGAAGTTCATATATCACAGGAGCGGATTACAAAATGTGAATTTGGGGGATTGGCGCAATGGTAGCGCGTTCGTCTCCAAAGCGAAAGGCTGTGTGTTCGAATCACTCATTCCCCAACTTCGTTTTTTGCTCCGTGTTGTAAGGGCTATTTATTTTTTTAGATTCCATTAATGAATGATAGACACGAAGGTACGCATATTTTTATATAGTTGTTTGTTAGTATAAAGCAAGAGGAAGGTGAGATGTCAACGGGATAAACTATGGAACGACGTAATGGTTGACGTGGCAAGTGTTCTCTTTTTAGGTGATCGATTTCCCTCCTTTATCTCGTTCCTCCCAACCGTTCAAGCTCCCTTCTTGTTACTGCTATTGTCACTTTCATCCAGTTGTTGTTATTGTTGTTTCTACTATGGCATCGCAGAATCCATTCGAAGAAGACGATCTTATCGTGCACGATCAGGATCCCTTTGCCGATCCCTCGATTGCAGTTGCGTTACAAACGACCAACGATGCGCAGTCATCGGCGCCTTTATTGATGACGCCAAAAGGCGACACCTTTACATCTGTTCCCGCGAAACCACCGCAGAATGACACGATAGATTCGCGTGAGGCCGAGCTACGTCGTCGTGAACAGGAACTCGCGGAGCGGGAGAGACGGCTACGCGATGAAGCCGAGGCCATTCGAAATGCGCCCGGTGTTCTACGTCCGCCCAACTTTCCATTCTTTTACCCGTTGTTCTACCTCGATATCGATGTTGAAATCCCGGAGAGTGAGCGCTACACCGTTCGTATGCTGTATCGCTCGTGGCTAGCCACCGTTGGTACACTGCTGTGGAATGCCATTGCCTGCTTCTTGATCCTCGTATCGCATGCCACGGGCGTGACTACCGGTGCTAGTGATTTTGGCGTTGCATTCATGTATTGCTTCACCATTACCGCGGCCTCCTTCTTTCTTTGGTATAGACCCATCTATAATGCGTACATGAAGGAGCGATCCATGTATTACTGTAAGTTAGCAGACAGGCGTATTTGCTAGTTGTGAATCGCATACTTATTCGTATATTTACCTATTAGATTTCTTCTTTGTATTCAACGGGTTTCATATTGGTTTCCAATATTATATGACAATTGGCATTCCTGCATCGGGATCTGCCGGCATCATCAATACAATCTCTATGATGAGCGATGGTAAGGTAGTGGCGACGATATTCGGTTTTATCACCTCCTTGCTATGGGGGGCAGGCGGTACCTTTTCCTTGTACATGTATCGCAAGGTACACCATCATTATCGTATTCAGGGTCATACGTTTGCAGAGGCCAAGGGGGATGCGCTTAAAACAATGGCATCTAGTCATTTTGGCGGCGGATATAATCGCACAGATACGACGGCAAACAATGTTTAACGTGAATACTAGCCACATACATGTGTATAGTAGTTGACGTGTACGTAATACAGATACGATGGCATCTGCGTGCAGGCGCGCTAAACATGTTATATTCACTCGTTTAACTCTGATGATCAAGTGTCAGATCCATAACATAAATAAATAAATAAATATATGTGCTAAACCAGAGAGAGATAAAATACACGCGTGTATGTTTGTATGTAGTGCTAGAAGATAACAATTGAAACGACGAGCTAACAACATTTATTACTCTGAAAACGAGATGTAGAGATTGATGATATAGGAAACATACTCACGCACGCACGCTTACAACTTCGACTTTGGTGGTTGTGGAGCGAGGGATAGAGGATCTTGTCGAGTTTCATGGCCAACATCATGTTACCCTTAATCTTAAGCTTGCCAGTCGAGAATGCCTTTTGGCCATTCAATTTGCCTTGAGCCAATTGAACGAAATCGGCCTCGTTAACTTCAATGGTGATATCTGGCTTGCCAACTACACCCTCGGTCGACGAGCCTTTACCCTCCTTTAGATTAAGCGTGTGTTGCACATTCTTGTCCTTAATGTTGAAAACAAAGACAGCCTTGGTGCTTCCGACCAACTTGGTGCGTTCGGCATCGGACATTTTGTCGAGCCCTTCGGTCATTTGCTTGAATACAGCAGCGGCAGCCATGTTTAATCAGTAAACAAACAGTATAATAGCAAATGGGATAGTAACGTAGATGAGAGGTAAAGCTTTTAAACAAGTATAAAAGAAAAGAAGAAAAGAAGAAAATAAGAGATGAGAGTGAGTAAGAGAAAGAAGTAGGGGAGTAGGAAGGAACGAAGCGTATTTATTAGTATAATGTTCACCACCACAAGACACACACGCGCGCGCAACAACGTCATCCATTCTCCGTAACCAATCTACGCTCCACTCCACTCCAATCAATCAATCACTTGACGGCACCATTCGATTTAAACTGCCGAATCACGTGAAAGCGAGGTAACACAACTGGGCAACGAGCATCAATCCGGTAATTGTCACCAGTTGCAGCATTGACGTGTTAACAAGGAGGGAGGAGGCACCCGCGCATACCGTACACATAATAGCTATATACAACGCAACATGATATCATTATCATTATGAATAGTAGTAGTATAGTCCACTTACCAGCAACATTGCTAAGGCCAAATGTAGTACCACGATAGACGAGTAGATGTCCGCCTTCCGGTAGAGCATTTTTACCGCGTTCATCAAATATCACTAATTGATAGCGACCGTATTCCAGTAATGGACCTGACTTTGTGTCATCCCACTCATTGGTATCCCATTTATATTCCGTGGTGTCGCCCGAGATGTTGGCGGCAATCGTCACTAGTTGACGTTCAGGACCGGCGATTTGTATGGTCAAGTTTTTAGGGGGAAACTTTAGATTGTCGTCGTATTTCCACTTGAACGTGATCACTTCACCAATACGATAGCGTGGCACGTAATGCTCGCGAGCTTGCGGTTCTAACATGACAAGTCGACCAGGTGGATGCGATGCATCTAGCACTTCACCATCCTTTGTTTTAATAGTGTTGTCATCGTTTGTATTTGTTGCATTTGCTTGATGTCTAGATTTATTAGTGTCTTTTGTGTCTGTTTCCATTGTTTTATTGCTGCTACTATTCTTGCTACTGTGCTTGTTGTTGTCGTGATTCTCCTCATTTAGATTATCTGTTGTATTATGTGTAGGCTTTTTATCATTGCTATTCGTTCTTCTTTCTCGGTTGCATCCACGCTTGCTGTACCATTATACTTTGTGTATGGTTTCTTGCTTTGTATATTGCTCTTTGATTCTTCATCTTTATCGCTCTCTGATGATTTACGATCAGCTTCTTCCACTTTTGTTGTCTTGTTACTACTATTAGAAGCTGGACCATCTAAATTGTTCGAATAAATACGTATATACATATGTTCATATATACATCTCAATTACTTACCTCTACGTGTTAATAGGGTAGTCTCATGCGTATCAATCATCATGCTGGGTGCGTAGAGTGTTACAATAAGCATGTAGATAATGGCTACTGATAGCCAGGTGTAGAATGTAGTTTCACGCATTGTATAAATGATGTATAATAGGAGTAGACTGTGTAAACCAAATCAAACACTTCCATTGCTGATGCAGTATTTCTCTTGACTATTGGTAGCTAAGTTTATATGGGACTACTATTGAAACAAAAACAACAAACGCTTAAAGGGGAAATCACAACAAAAGAAAAGCTAGCGTTTATTTTATCATCCAATAAGCGTAAGGGACCAGTTGTTGCTGATCAAGGTGGCTGGATCACGTACAACACAACGATTAGTCAACTGAGCACCGTTATCGCCAAGGGTAGCCGGCGCTTGTACGCAAGTTACTTCTACCTGATCAGTGCGGATTCCTTTGTTGTTACTCTTGTTGCTGCTTCCTTTTTGCAACTTCTCTTCAACGTTGGCATAACGCCATGTAGCCTCTGGTGCACCTAGAATAATAATACGTTCTACGCGTATTTTCCTATCAACTATATGCTTATGATAATTGTCGGTGATGTCTTGCATCTCAAGCATCGATAGTTTTGGATAGTTGCTAGCAGGTGCCGAAGTGAGAACACCATTCTTGAATGTGAATCGACGATGAATATAGGCGCCATCCAAAAAGTCGTATGTCACTCCGTCGTCGATATAAAGCTCGCCCTCTGCCGTACCCTATTTTAATCAATTGTTAGATTATTATATATAAATATAGATAATATATCCAATACGTACATTGGCATCAAGTGCTATAATCAGTGTAAATGGATCATCCTTCATTAGTGTGGAGGCTGATCGAACACGTTGACGTGTTGGTACAATAGAACCACCACGAATGTAGACTGGAATACGACTGAGTGGTGTCTCTGTTCGAACATGACCAGGTCGATATTGAAGTAGCGTGAAATAGTCATACCATGGCTATTAAACAACAATTAGTAATGTGCTAATAGCAAACACACAATGATTACTCACCTCATTACCAGTGGTAATACGACATCAACGTATTTAGCATCAGGCTGTGTGACTGGACACACCAATAGATCACGACCTAGCATGTATTGATGATCATTGGCGAATAATGAAGTAGCCTTGGGGAATTCCATAAACATAGGTCTAATAACAAACATTGGTTACTTGTAAATACTAGCAGTGTAGTAATTTGATTATACAAACCTGACTACTGGCATACCAGTAAGAGCCGAGTGACGGAATTGAGTATACCAGAATGGTAAGAGAGTGTATCGAATACGAATGGCCTCACGCATGAGTAGCATGTATTTCTTTTCAAATAGCCATGGCTCGCGACGTTTCGTGTCAAGATGAGCATGAGCACGGAAGAATGGCTGGAAGGCAGCAGCTTGATACCAGCGTACTAGCATTCTGGTTCAGGATTACCAAAGAAACCTCCCACATCAGCTAGCAGATAAGTTAGTATAAGCGATAGATACATCATCATCATCATCATCATCATAGCTGAAATGTTAATAATGGCACTTACCACCTACAAATGGTATACCGGCAATATTGATGCTTAGTGCCATTTGAATGGATAAACCTAATTGTTCCCAAGTGGCCATGTTGTCACCGGTCCATATTGCGCTTACACGCTGTGTTCCTGCAAAGAAAGCACGCGATAACACAAATGGACGCCGTGTAGGTGCGGTACGT